ACAAGTTTGTAAACGCACACTCAGGAGAGCGTGGATCTTCAGTTATTAAACTGGCATTTATGAGAAAGTAGCTGCCATTTAAGACAATGGCTCTCGGCTAGATTTAGTTGGCATAGCTCTCACACATAACAGATTTTTCCCCTTATAGTAAAACTACCCTGATAAGAGCTCACAATCTAATGGAAAGTGGGGGGCATATGAACTGACTACAATCTATTAACAACTATGTAAGAATATGCTGACTAGTTGAACCCATACACACTTTGCCACATCTACTTTACCTTCAAAATAAACACAGGATTTTGACTACTGTCAAGATTCACTTCTTCAAGTTATTGTGGCATCCCGGAGACACAGCCTAGTGTGTTAATAACCTTTCGAAGAAACTGCCCGCAGAATCATTATTTTGTGGCACACACATATATTGAACCTCAGAGACCTCGGGTTAAGCAACTGTGTCCTACACAACTCCATGCCAGTGGAGAGAGAGGGGATTTTGATAAGTAACAGGCAAGGAGGATAAAATTCAGCCTTTCATCCTTCATCAGAGCAAAATGCCAACATAAGCATTGTGAGGGAAAATGCACTGTTCAGGGACCAACCATGGGAGTTAATGTGCGAATTACTCTGTGGTGGGTGTGGTTTTAGAGTCACCACATCTAAGTCTTACTGAGTTATATTTTTGTGTTTGGGGGCTTGGGTTTATTATTATTATTAATTATTATTATTGTAAATTATGGGTAGAGATGGTAACAATTGGGAAAGCTCTGAGAGTCCCCTTCTAGACACTACCGAATCAGACAGTTTCCAGAGGATTGGTGACATAGTAGTATCACTTCTCCAAACCCGCAAGTGTCTCTTAGCAAGTAAAGGCCACAAATACAGGAGGGGTCCCGGTAGAGCCAGTTGCATGCTTTACTGTCTTTATTCCAGGGTCTTCAAAGTCAGGCTCTCAAGGACTCTTTAAAAGCTGCCATGTCTCGTTTCAGCTGGAGATCAAAGCAGAGTTCAAGAGATAAAAAAAAAAAAACAAAAAAAAAACGGCTTCTATCGGGGACACATTTGTAACACCCACCGTTTTCTGCTCATCTCCTTCCAGGAACACTAGGCACCTCCTTCACGCTGAGACATTTGCCAATGACGGTCTAGAAAACTTCCCAAATCATCTGCTCTGGACACGTATGTCCTCAAACAGGCAATATGAAAGGGGTGCTGGCAGGTAGCTCCAGGGACCAATGATTACTTGGTGTGGATTGATTCAAATAAAGCTTCGCCAAGTATCAAGTCCTTCGTTTGGTGAGTAAACTCTTCGACCCACGTTACACATTTCACTTACCATCTTCACAGATCCGCAATCCCACTGCTTCACTCATGACTTCAGCGGTGCGAGGAACATTTATTTATCTTTAAGAGCTCCGACTCTGGCACCAGGCGGCCTGGGTTTTTTATTCTTGATTCTGCTACTAGCTGTGTGACCTTGGGCAAATGACTTCTTTAGGTTTCAGTTCCCTCATCTCTGAAATGGGGTGATAAGGTCGTTCTGAGGATGAAAGGACTTGATACAAGTAAAGCGCTTGGAACAGTGCCTGGCAGACAGAGGTAAATGCTAGAACTGTGAGCACTCACACTGCTGAGCATCTAACGTTTCCCAGGGAACTCTGCTAGTCACTGTGCCCAGCTCTCACTAAACAAACTTTTATCTTGGTATGAATGATTCGGGTAGAACGAAATGAATATCTAGTTCTTCTTTAACTTGATAATGGCCAACATGTACGTATTAGCCTTGGACTCTGGTTCACAGACATAGGAGCTGTTTGTGGGTTTACCACTTTGCTATTTGAACAAACGCTGTCTACTGTGCCAGACTTGGGACTTGATAAGGAAACTTAGATTTGCTTTTTTTTTCCCCCAAGGAGCTATTTGAAGCTGAACAAGTTTCCTTGAGTAGTATCTGACTCAAGGAGTTATTTAATGGGAATAAATAAAGCTATGCGTTCCGCTGGATTACAAGTAACCAATAAATGCAATTTGCTATGTGATAAATGAACGTATTCGCTACTTAGGTGGTTTCGCTAAATCACGACTGGAGATTCTCACTCTGCCACTGACGACTTTCCTAATGAAGAGATGAGAGGGGCCGGAGGTTGATGCCAGCAGACCAACAGCGGGCACAGCAGTCTGCAGCCTCGGGGACCAGGGGCGGCCCCCCAAAGACAGGCAGGTGAGACAGCAGAGCCCTGGGCTGCAGCCGAGGTGGAGAACTGCTCCACTGAATTCCCCCGCCCCCCACCTTCGAAACACCTGCTGACCCGTTCGAAGCTCTCCCAACGACAGGTCTCGAACTTTTGACTTCCCGAGTCTGTCTGCTCACCCGCAAAACGGGGGGCAGTGCTCCTGACTCCAAATAATCATAAAGACGCTTATGAACGTTCTCCATAAGCCCTAGTGGGAGTGCAGCCATAAGGAGGTGAGCGTCAACGTCACATGATCAGGGGACGCGAAGCTCCGGCGGCCATACGCCCTAGTCTTCTCACCTCTGCAGACACACGAGCCAGGTGAGAAGCAATGTCCCCGCGGGAACCACCCTTCGCCCTCCCAGTTTTTTTTGTTTGTTTTTTTTTTTTTGGTCGGAGGGATTTATCTGGCGAGCCGGGAAACACTCCTCCCCGGGTCGCCTTTCCTTTAATAGAGGGCGGCCGAAGCCCCGCCCACTACGGCAAGCGAAGCGGTGTCGCCGCGGAGCTCGTTGCAGCTCCCTGTGCCGGACCGTTCCGAGCGCCGGCACCGCGCGGGGAAGCTGGAGGCGAGGGGCGCTGCGCGGCGGAGGGGGCCTGCGGCAGGGGGACGTGGGCTTGGGGACGTGGCTGCGAACGAGGCGGCACTGCGCTCGGCCGTATCGCTGGAAGGTCAGTGCCATCCATGCTGCCGGGCGAGCGCGGAGAGGCCCCGCGGACCTTGTCGCGGGGTCGGGGACTCTGGGGGGGCTGTAGCGCCGTCGTGGGCCTGGCCCAAGCTGCAGCTGGGGGTCATCGCGGAGCCGCGGGGCCTGCCCCGACGCCAGCCCTTCCGTGTCCGGGACGTCCCACTCGGCCATGCCGGCGCGCGCACGCACGTACGCACGCACACACGCCGTGCGTCCCTCCGCCCCTTCTCGGTGGGCGTGGCCGCCGCTGATGCACGTGACTGCGCCCGCCCCGCGGGAAAGCGCTCCAGGTGTCTGCGTACCTGGTCTCTGCGCCAGGACGGCGGGCGGCCGCGCTGAGGGGGCCGCCCAGGGCCGTGGTGGGGAAGGCTGCAACGGCACTGTGAGATTTTCTTTCCCACTTATCACTCAGTAGGCTCCATGGCATAACACGCCTGAAAGAAGTAATTTTTTAGAGGTCGCGGTTCCAGGTACGTGTTAGGAAAGCCCTCAGTCTAAGAAAGTACGGAGTGGAGGAAAATCAACTACAATTTATTGTGTCAGGCACAGCTCAGTAAAGGGTAAATCAGATTCTGTGCCTGCTTCATGGAACTTAGTCTAGTGAAGGAGAGAAACGGTAATAATCACTAAATTATCGTTGTCGTAAGTGCTGTAAAGGAAAAATAAACTATATTATGGAAGCATTTAACGTTGGGCGTCGATGTCGAGCTCAACAGACCAATCGAGGGGTGAGCAGAGGTAGATCTGGCCAAGTCTGGGCGCTATCTGGACGCCCAGAGAAAGATGGCACTAGGTAATGATCTCATGTTTCCTAAATAGGAGGGGAAGAGGGTTTCAAGAGTCTCAAAGTCCAGTGTGGTTCAAGCAAAAGGGAAGTTCGGTGTAAAAGGAGGCTGGAGAGGAAGCTGGAGAGGAACCTCGGGGCCTCGTGAAAGAGTCGATTGATCTTTAATCTTGGGCCAGTTTTTAGCTGGGGAGGGTACTGGGTGTGGTGACAGTGCAGAGGGGAGAACTGGTCGCAGAGTTCAAGTGCGGGGTCAGAGCTTGGTCAGGAGGCCGGCGGGATCCAGACGAGAGGGACGATGTCTTAAACTAGGATGGCGGCAGTGGCCATGGAGAGAAGCGGATGCACGTGAGTGGGGTTAGGAAGTAAAACTGATGAGACCTGACGGGGGAGGGAGAGCCGAAGTGGAGAACAGGACATGTGGCTCTGGAGGGACCCGGACCCTGGGAGACAGGGTGACCGTTCAGGAGATGTAGGTATGGGGATAAATCTAACTCGTGATACTGAGCCCTTAGTTCTGTCTTTAAAAGCTTTTTAAAAAACATTTCCGGGGTGGTTATTAGGTTATTTCAATCAAATAACTAAATAATAAAATTTTTATAACTAAAAAAATGTGGTTGAGAAATTGGCTTTTTCCAGCTTTGTAAATCAGTATTTAAGCTCTTAAACTGCCCACCTGGGTATGGAGAGTACTTTGTGCTCCTTATTGAAGAGCAGAACCAGAGCCGAGGGACAGTGACCTGAAGGCTCGGTGACCCCCGTGTGGGCCTCTGGGACCAAGGCTGCACAACCCAGGCTGGAAGGGGCAGATGGGACAGTTTGCAGGCAGCAATAAAGATTTTTGTGAAACTTCTTTGGAAGGTGTGAAAGAATGTTTAAGTCCTAGAAATTGGCAAGATTAATTTCACAAATCCTAAAGCCACTAGAATCTGTCACTTTGATCCAACCTCCTGGGGAAGAATAGATATCAATACAAGCTTGTGAATATCAGCTATATAAGAAATAAGAGCAGTGAGTGCACAAATAATAGAAGTTATTTCACTCGTCAGTCTACGTCATTTGAAAATGCACATAAACTATTTAATTTCTTACAAGAAAGGACCCCCTATCTACCTCTCACGATTATGTCTGCTAAACCACATATTTAAATTGCTTTCCCCGAAATTTCCTTAAAAATACATTATTAGTTCTCTCAAAGAGGTACTGCAGAAGGTAATGTGGAATGAGGTATCATGAAGGGTACCTGCCAAAAAAAAAAAAAAAAAAGAAATGCAGAATAATGTATCATAAGGGGAATGTAGCTGTCTTTGGAGCAGTAATCGTTTAATCACTTTTTTGTGTGTGTGTACAAGAATGTTCATGGCAGCTTTCTTTATAATAGCCCAGAACTGGGAATAATAGCCTAAGCGTTCATCACCAAGAAACTAGATTCAAACACTGCAGTATATTCATAAAGTGAGACACTTCCCAGAAATGAAGAAGAACAAAATAATGATTCATGCAGCAACACGGATGAATCTTAAAAACATTATGCCGAGAGGCCTTCCAACAAAGAATACATACTGTTTGATTCCATTTCTGTGAAATCTTAGAACAGACTATGATGGAAAAAAATTCAGAACAGTCGTTGCCTCTGGATGTGGTTAAGAGTCTACATGTTGATGTAAGATTTGGTTCCAAAGGTGTTTGTACTTGTCGGAGCTAATCAATCAAATGATGTGCCTAAGATTTGTACATTTTATTGTATGTAAATTTTGCCTCAAGAAAAAGAAGAATCATAAATACTGAACTCTAATGATATGCATGCTGAAGTATTTGAGGATGAAGTATACCAATGTCTGCAGTTTTGAAACATAGCAAAACATAAATAAATCAGATGGAAAGAATAATAAATAGATGGATAGATAAAGAAAGGAAAGTAACATGTAGAATCTAGGTGAATGGGTATTGTAGTGTTCACTGTACAATCTTTCAACTTTTCTGTACATTTAAACATAAGTTGGGAGAAATAGTCCTCTAAAGAATATCGTTCATTTTAGACAACTGAAAACTAACATGAAAAAATATCACAGCCCTAAGCCCACCTGAAATGCACAGCATATGGAAGTAGCCACATAATTATTTCATTAAAACGTTTCCCACTTTATGGCTTAATATCGAAATCATTTCAATTTCTTATGGAGTATGTGGATCACACATTAAGATTACTCCGTTGTAGGCATTTTGAATAACATAACACAGTTCACCTTGTTTCGTACTTTGTCCTAGGAAAGTGATGATGCTGAAGAGGTCCGAGAAGAGAAATGAGGGCTGAAGGCAGTGGCGATGGCTAAGAGGAAGCACAGCGCAGGAGTGAAGGGCCTTTGGGGCGGGGTCGTCTGGCAGTTCATCGCCCAATGGGTAGAGTGTTTAGTGATCCGATCTCAAGTAAATAAGGAATCGAAAGAAAGCTACCGAATATAAAACTGCCAGTAGATGCGGACTCGTGTAGCACAGTGTGATTTCGATAAAGTCTGAATAATCGTAAAATCAGAAATAGATATCTCATACTATAAAAATTACACAGTTTAAGTAACTGACTTTAAGATAATTAACTTTTAAAATATTTTTGGATGTCTCAGATAAACTAGTTCTGGGAGTAAGAGTGACTGAATACAGCAATATTATCATAAAAACAAGCATTTTTATTTTAATTTAGACTACTGGTTCATTTGGCCTGTTATTTATTGGACAGTTATCACAAACATTTCACCAGAGGACGTGGCTACCCCAGACATCCTCACTTAAACTGCTCGAACCCACTTACATTATCATGTTTTGTTACCCATTTTCTTACGTCATCTGTTTTTGGGTGGTGGGGATCCCTAACGCAGTAGTTCCTAACAGTGGAGGGGCGAGGAAACACCTTGTGGTTTGAGAAAGCATCCCCCCCCACCCCCCATGATGCTGGCGGGCCTCAGTTTCTACTCTAAAATAGGCATGTTAACTGTGAGCAAAACATTGCCTGAGTTTTACCACAAACAAAAACCGTCACCATTTCTGATGGTGAGACACTCTTAGACTTTGATGAAGACTATATAGATGGAGGAAAAAAGGCGATTTGCATTACAAAAAAGAAAGTTCATGACATTCCTTAGACATAGGCTTTACTCGAAACTAGTGAAGAGAATATTTTTTTGAAGATGTATAAAGCCAGAATTTATTAAATTATAGCGAAATATATAACTTACACAGACTGGAATAATTACATTGACACAAGTGGTGAGCTTTTTCCTCCCTGTGGGCTGATTCTTGTTTTAAAAACTTTTTAATTTTGAAAGAAAGAAATGTACAGAAAAGTCGAAAGACTAATAACTAATATTAGTTATCAGTTGTTATGGTATATACCCATATACCATAATCTAGATTCAGCAAATGCTGCCATAATTGCTATATCTTCTGCCAGACCATTTCAGAGTAAGTGGCAGATGTCATGACATTCATTTTCTAAGAATGTCATTTTCACTCCTGAGAAGTAACAATACTTTTCTGATAGTATTCAATCCATCGTGAATCTAGTCCATATTCAAATTTTCCTTCTTTAGCCCAGCATGTGTTTTTAGTTGCTTTTTTCCAAACACGTCATGTTTTATGTCATGTCTCCTCAGTCTATTCAAGAACTGCCTCCTCCGCCCTCTCCGTTTACGATGCCCCCGACTGTTTTAAGGCACCGAGCCAGTTGCGTGGCTTTGTCCGACTTTCCTGTGGCCTGGTTCGTTCCTCTCAGCCTGGCTCTTGTATTCCCTGGGAATTGGAAGCTCAGTCTGGAGGCTGGACCGGTTCAGGTCAACCGTCTGGCGGGACGGCTTCACGGGGTGCCTCCATGAGCCATGTCACGCGAGGGGACGCGCACTGGGATGTCTGCCTGTCCCACCATCGGGACGCTGAGTCCGACCGTTGGTCACGAGGGCGACAGCCCGTTTCGGTTTGGAAGTCATCCTCGTGTCACCCTTTGGCACCACGGGAGCACCCTGGTCCCTCCAGCTTTTCACCTGATGAGTTTCAAACCCATCCCTGCCTGAATCAGGGATTTGATTGGAGGTGGCAGAATGATCATTTTTTAAATTACTGTTGCTTTTCTTCTCCGTTTATCAGCTGGCATTCTCTGAAGAGCTTTCGTCGTCATCTGGGGATGATTCCAGATCTTCCTGAAAGAGGTAGGAGAAACGCCGAGTTCTCTTTCTTCATTACTAGTTTCAAAGTGAGGAGTCAGAGCGGTAGTCACACATAGTTGTGGCAAATGATCTTTTTTAGTCGTTTATGTTTAAATTGTCACACATTTGGCGGGCGGGAGGCTCCTCCTGTCACACAGACAGAATGATAACACCATCGGGGAAATCCGAGCACTTGATATCTGATGATGTCAGGCAGTGATTATTAGTTAGTTTCATCCTAACTATAGTGAATTTGGGACTTGATGCTACCGCTACTTTTCTGATGATAAATAGAAAAAAGTCTTCTCTGGTCTCTTCGACTTGTCTGCCTTTTTGGTTCGGGGGCTTCCTCCACCAACAAATATCTGACTTTTTATTAAACGGCATCTCAGCTTTTTAAAGTCCGGTTCGTTCCCACCGTAGAGCTTTACAGCCTCTGCGGCCGGAATCCCCAACCAGTGAAGGACTGTAAAGTAATTCATCTCAGTCACTGTGGACGAAGCATTTGGTCATGAAGTCACTGAGGCCAGTGGGCGTTTGCAGTACCAGCTAGAAACGTGAGGAGAGCGGCTGGCCAGCCTTTGTGTGTGCCGCTGGGGAGTGACACATCTGAAGACCTAGAGGTTACGTGCCAGCAGACACCGTCTTGCTGGCTGTTCCCTGTGGCGCGGGCGTTCATCCCACGTGACATCCTGAGCCGGGCTCCCGGCTCTGGGTAGGGGCACAGCGGTGAATAGAACGGACAAATTACATTTTGTCGTGGAGCTTACATTCTAGGGACAAAAGATCAGACAGCTGCGTAAATTTAGGCAAGTCAGGCAGTGAGTTTTTGTAAAAGGCTAAGTAACGGGCGTACAAGTGACACTGCCATCGTGCAGCGTGCCCGAGAAGGCCTCGCCGAGTGGCCGCGTTTGAGCAGAGACCTGACGTCGGTGAACTAGGCAGCCGTCTGGAGGAAAGGGACCCCTGGCACAAGGACCCAGAGGGGTGGGAACAGCAAGGGGGCCGGAACAGAGGGGCTCGGAGGACGCGGGTCAGCGCTGGGCGCGGGGGGGGTGGGGGCCAGGTCAGCGGGGGAGAGGGGCACTGTAGTCCCTGCGTAGGCTTGGCCTTTGTCCTGAGGTGGGAGTCAGCGGGGGGTCGTGAGCACAGGAGGCACGTGATCTGACTTGCACATTTAAAAGGGTCGCTCCTTGCGCCCCGTGGATCAGGAATCACAGGAATCACAGCAGTCAAGGGCCGAAGCAGGGGGCCGGCCAGGAGGCCGCTGCCCTAATCAGGAGGGTGACCCCAGCGTTTGGGGAGCGGGGTGATTGATAGCCGTGCAGAAGGTGAGACGGGACCAGACCCTGGGTCTGTTTAGAGGCTGAACAACAGGACTCGCTGATGAGTCGCTGAGAGAAGAGTCGGGAAGAGCCTTGCGGTCTGGGCCCGAGCAGCCGGAAGCACGTGCGGTCGTTCCCGCGAGCCGGCAGGCCACGGGGGTCGGGCGGAAGACGGGGGTTCAGACTTGGACGTGTCGACTGGAGGGGCCTGTCGGATGTCTCAGCGGAGACGTTGGGTAGGCCGCTGACGTCACGCTGGAATTCAGGGGCGCGTTTGCAGCCAGAGCGGTCGTTTGTGTGTTTTCAAGCTGGATCGGGAAGGGAGCGAGACTGTGTCCATCCTGTCACTTTCTGCCCCGTTTACTGTGGTTTATTTTCTCCATTTCACTTGTCAAGGGGCCTGTGGGGTGGTGGCGGGGAGGATCAGCGGGTCGACAGGTGGGACCGGAGCGAGGGACCAGAGGGGATCTCCAGGCTTGACAGACAGCCCAGGCGATTCTCTCGCGGTGCCCCTGGGACACTCTCTTTCGTCCCTGACAAGGCACACCTCTCTGAGTGCCTGAGCCCCTGGTTCCTCGGGGATGAGATCGGTGGGTGCTGTCCCTCCGTCAGCCTGCACTTCTGAGCTTTCCCTAAAGCGTGAGTGGAAACAGAGACACTCACTACGGCAGAGAAGCAGCTAGAAAATCAAGCACTTAGAACCCCAACGTAAAATCAGCATTGCCATGTACGCCCGCTGCGTGGGTCACCTCTGGCAGTCGTGCCTCGCTCCCCTTGTGAGTGGGCCGTGTGGTTTATGCGGTCGGCACTGGGATTAATGTCGGGGTGTCTCCTTTCTGACCATCTCACCAAGTCCCCCCAGGGGATCAGCTTTCCTCGCAGAGTTCCTGTTCCCATAATAGAGCTCTTATCTCGTGTAACATCAGAGATGCTGGCAAGTTGTTAATTACATTAAAAGTTTATGAATCACCAAGCATTTTATTCTCCTGAAGAAACCTTTTGGATGAGCTTTGCTTTTGAAGTTGGTATTACAGGATCCACAGGAAATAGAATCCAATGAGGTAATATTTGGGGAAGAAAAAAATGGAAGACAAAAGCACTGTGCAAATCTGGTTTGTTCTAAGAGTAACTTGTACTGGAGACAGTACCACTGTGAGTTAGCGTGACCGTGGTCACCCGACAGCCCATGTGACTGGTGTAGGCCCATGACACTCCCAGATGACATGGTTCCCACAGCCTCACACAGCCGCCCACCCGTGCCCCACAGGATCGAACCACAGGAACGAACGATTGCATCTTAATGAACTTTTCTCCCTACTTTTTAGGATGGCCGGCCTTTTTCTAAAGACGTTAACGTTACAAACCCTAAAGACTGAACATAATGGCATCAGAAGATGCGTTGGTGCGCACGTGGTGCAGAAGGCGGCACTCGCACAGCTGTCCCTCGTGGCCTCTGCCCCACGCCTGCCCTGCCCGACTCCCGCAAAAGCTTTTAGCACTGCCGAAGACACCCAGGATGAAAGGAAGAAAAGAATGAACGAAGCTGCTTTTAGTAACATTGGAAGAAAAATCAGTGAGCGAATCATCCACGTCCTGGATGAGAAGGGCAGCGATTTGGGAAACATGCACCGGGCAGACGTGATTCGACTCATGGACGCGCGAGACCTGAGGCTTGTGAGAAGGGACGCAGGGGCGGAGCCTCCAGTGTACCAGCTCCTGACGGGGACGCAGATTCACGAAGAGCGGCTGAGGCTGAGAGAGAGGGACAAGGCGACACCTAGAGCTGGTAGGTCGTTTGCTGTGCGCTCCCCGGGTTCCTCAGGACGCCGTTCGACAGTGGACCCGGGGCCCTTTGCCGGGTGCCTCGTGACGAGGGGCGAGTGAACTAGACAGTTCAGTTTCACCACTGTTTCCAATGCCATTTTTTTCAATCCCTCATTTCTGTTCTCTTCCTTCGTACCCTGTCTCGATCCCTTCCTTCGTCCGTAGCTTGGTCTCCTCGTGCCCAGGCGGGCAGGGCGATGGACGGGGTGGCAGGCTCGGAAGAGTGCCTGCCCCTTTCCGGGCCACTCGTTTACCCTCCTTTGAAATTTTTTTAGCTCATCTCTATAAAGTGGAGGGTTTGGTTAATGGAGGCACTTTCTAAACTCTGAAGTGACTCTCACAGAGCATCTCCCAGGCCTGAGTATTTTCCTAGGACACTGGTGGTGACCGTCATTTGCATAGTTTGCCAGTCACCTTTCAAGGCACTTGCCATTTAAACGCTACAGAAGCCCCGAATTGGAGAGGAAGCGAGGACGTGTGTTTTCACGATCCCTGCTAAGCGCGGCCGGTGAAGGACAGATGGACAAGGGTTTCGTGTGCATAAAGATTATATATGGCACACTTGTTTTCAGGGTGTTCATGTAACAGCCGTAGCTGGCTTATTGTAATTGCCAAGTGACATTTCCCCGCCAGCATGTAGCGTAGCTGTGTGGTCCATCGCCATGGCCACGGGGCTCGTTTCCGGTTTATTAGGAACAATGAGCATATGCATCAGTGTCTCCTGTGCCAGCTCCAGGTTCTGTGGGGCAGGTCGTCATACTAATTTTTGTCACGTTAATGGGAGAAGCCACACCTTATGTTTTGATTTGCATTTCCTTTGGCCTTTTGAGTATGTCCTCTTCCATGATTTGCCTGTTCCTATCCCTTTACACTGATGGTTTTTCTTACTGATTTACGGGGTTCTCTGTTCTGTGCGATCCAAGAACTTTATGCTAGTTGGATTTCTCACTTTAGTTTTTCTCTCATCCCGAGGTCATAAACACGTCCTTTCTTCTATTTGTTTTAAAGTTGTGTTTTTTTTCATATTTAGACAGTCCATCTGGGAAGATTTTTGTACGGATTGAAATCTTTTTCCCGCACGTGAAAACTCGCAATTGTCCCAGTGCCGTCAATGAGTAATCTGTTCCTTCCCTATAAAATTATTTCCCAGTCATCAGGATTTTCAGAGACAGAATGAATGCAGGACGCAGGGAGCTCCCCCTTGTCCGGATGGGCCTGGAGCCCGGGGGCATCACCAAAGGGTGAGAAGGGCAGTTCCCAGACAGAGGGAAAAGGAGGATAATCGAGTTCATCATAAGGCTAACCTTGGTCCTTTTTAAAGGATCATTCTTCAATAATGTAACAGTAAATGGAGGCGTTTCATATTTAAATACCCTTACGTGGCAGGCAAAGAATCAGTACTTTTATGTTTGTCTCTCCCGTTTAAAAAGTGGTTACTGGTCTGTGAAACTGAAGTCAGGTAGTAAGATTTTATGACGTCTATGTGGTGAGGTTTAGGTCTCAAAACCAAGATGGTAAATAGTCCGAGCACTAAGTCTCACTGTTTCAAACTAGGGCCGACTGTGACAAAGGAACTAACTTTTTCTGCAAATATCGGACAACACGATCTGGACACAAAGAGTAAACAGATTCAGCAGTGGATTGAGAAGAAATACAAAGTTCAAATTACTGTAAAGAAAGGGAAGAATGCAGAAGAGCCAGAAAAGAAAGTGGTGAGTAAAAGCAGGTATGAGTGGCTGTCAGTTTCTGATCGAGAAGTACAACTGTAAGAAATCTGGGAAACGGAAAGGCGAGGAAAAGCGACGGTCATCCTGTCCGGCCGTGATCAGCTTTCCAGGGTGTTGTTCGGAATGCACGCATAGTGCGCATGTGTTGCTTTTCCCATGGTAACAAATATTTTGCTATATGAAAACATTCTACTTCATAACATAAAGGCTTTATATTACTACTTTACGAATTGTAGAATTTAACATTTAGATAGGAAAACTAGAAACTATAGATTCATTCATTTTTTTAATGTCTGTCGGAAGCATCCGAGGTAGTCAAATGGTCTTCGAGAAAGTGTGCATCGGTGCGATCCCAGGATAAGTCTGCTGATTATCTGTCGCTTTTAGAGTTAGATAACTGGGCAGCAGCTGAAAGGCAGCATCCGCCAGCGGTACTGAACCCTGGCTCGTGTTGGAATCCCTTAGGCCTAGGTCCCCGCCCGGCTGACCCAGAATCTGGAACCGGGTGTGTTTTTCTCATCACCCCAGGTGGCGGTGAGTGTGTCGGGACCTGCGCTGGGCTGGCAGCTGGGGGACACGGCCATCCTCTGCCAGTGCCCAGATCACTGCTTTCAACCTGGTTTTGCCAGAGGGCAGCTTGGGGCCCAGCGCAGCTCCTCAGCAGGGTGAGAGCAGGGATTTCAAACTCGCAAGCGTTTGGTGCCTTAGTCTAGTTATGTGGCGTCTGAGTAACTGGGTACTGCGCGGGTCGCAGGCAGCCTAACTGGCCTGTAGCCTTTGGTTCAGTGAAGCACTGAACAGCAGCAACTCAGGAGCGCTGGGCTTCGTAGTTAGTAGAGTCAGCGCCAGAAAGGACGAGACTGGTTTGCAATTCATCTTGGGCTGTTTTCCCTTCTTAGGACGAGATATTTAATCAAATCCTCCAGACTATGCCCGGAACAGCTACTTTCTCGTCCAGGCCACAAGCTGTTAAAGGAGGGAAAGCTGTCATGTGCATCCTTCGTCATTTGAGCAAAAAAGAAGAGATCGCACATAGAGAGACTCAGGGGACCCAGAAGGGGGGTCCTACGAACAAAGAAAGTGGGAACGACAGAGAATCAGATGTCCTGCACCAATGATTTTAATTAAAAAAATGTGTTTCTGAGACTACATACAGGCACGCCTCGTTTCACCGCATTCTGATTTGTAGGGTTTTTTACAAACGAGGGCAAAATCCCCAGCAGCAAAAAGGTGCCGGCTCGCTGTATTCACTGTGTGGCGCGGGCCGTACCTCTGAGGTCTGCGGTCACCGAGCGGGCCGGCTCAGCCCTGGAGAAGGCGGGCCCCTAGCTGAGGGTGAACACCGCCACGGTGGACAGCACCCCGTCGTCGGCGCAGGGTGGCGGCTCACCCGTTTTAGGCACAGATAAGGCTGCTTCTTGCCCCCGCTTAGGAGGGATGTAGCCGCTGAGATGAGAGGCCAAACTCCGTTTTTCACGACCTTTCACCTTTGGAAAGATGTGAAACAGACAATTAGAATTCAAGATCAAAGTCACCTGAGCTGATTTCACAGGAGCGGCACACACCCCG